TAAACAAATTATAAATATTTTAAAACCAAATATTAATATTACAGGATTTCCACAAGAAATTTTTCCTAAAGAATTATTAGCAGAAATACAATGGTATTTATATGAACAAATATGTCAATATATTAAAGATCCTCAAAAACAAGATGAATATTGTCTATTACCAAAAATTCCAAAACCAAAAAAATTATAAAAAAATTATTATTATAATTTAACAATTTTTATTTGTATACTACTGTAGTATATAAAACACAGGTATGTATAATAACTTAAAATTCTGTTTATAAAACTACTTTTAAATTCTAACAAAAAATAATCTATGCAAAATTTTAGTATAAACTACTCTTTAACCCAAACTTCTAACCCTAACAATCTAACTTTAATTATTTAATTTTTTTCTTTAAATATTATTTTACATACAAATTATACTAGTACTTCATACACTAGTATAAATTTAAAAAGTTTTATTACAATCATTAAATAATAAATAAAACATAATTTAACTTTATATTTTTATTTGTATTAATTACATTTTTATTATCCCATAGTTACATCAAATTTGCATAGTTCGATCATTTAATTTAGTGATTGAATCTGGGTAGGTGACTACTTGGGTTACCCGTTCACTCGTGGGTGACCCAGGTTGTATTGTGGCAACCCGGGTGGAAGTGATCAGGGCAGCTTTTAATATAATTCCTAAAACATCTATAAGAATTTAGAATTCCAAAATCTGTCAAGTCAAACACTTTCATCAACCAGGTATTCAATATTATAACTATTATTATAATTCCTAGAACATTGATAAAAATTAGCTAGATAATTTTTCAGCCAATTTGTTAAGTTTATAATTTGAGCATAATAGATTCTATAAGTTGATATATATAAATTTATATACTAGTATGTGATTTAAAATCAGGTAATGATATAAATATTATACTGATACAAACATTTCAATAAAAACATGATGCTTTAAAAGCATCTTCACTATGAATGATTAAAAAGCTTATCAATTCGAAAATTGAAAAATACTTAGTATGTCTTTATAAGTCAGGTTTTTAGATATCTTCAGAGTTTTACTAGTTTTAGAAATTATAGTATATCTATAACCCACTCGGGTGACTGATAGGCCTATCTGTCAAGTAACCCATCTGTCAGATGACCTAGATGGCACTTTTTTAGATGGGTCCAATTACTAGTTATAGTGTTAAAAATACTTAGAAAAAAAGAGACATTAATAAAGAAGCTAAAAAAAATGAAAACAAAAAACTGATTTACTATATCATCCTAGTTTACAGTTCTATCTTGAAGAAAAGTAACTTTCACGAAAACCTAACCAAGCCTAACCTACAAAAAAAAACAAATATTAGCATCTGTTAAAAAAAAAGAAATTAAACACAAATAAATGAAAAGAAACTGATACTTTTCAATAAATCAGTCTTCAATTCTTTATTCAAGCATATTTAATATTATCTAGAGCTAATTTTGTGTTTCAATAGCTCTCGGATCTATGAAAAAAGGAAATGTTAGTTTCTAATAAGAAAAAAAAATTAAAAATACAATTGAACTAGTTTTTAATTCTCTATCCAAGTACAATCTCTAGCATTTATTATTGTCTAATATTGACTTTTAATTTTAATAAAGCCAGAACTACAGAAGGAAGAAACCATTAGCATCTGTTGAAAAAAAAAAATTACAAATAGAATAAGAGAAAAGAAACTGGCACTTATCATTAAACCAGCTTCAATTTTCTTGCCCAAGTATAAGCACCAGTATTTAGTATTATCAAATATTAGTTTCATATTCTAACAAAACCTGGATCTACAAAAGAGAGATACCATTAGCACCTGTTGAAAAAAAAAGAAATAAAAATATATGAAGGAAAAGAAGCTGGTACTTATCATTAGACTAGTTTTCAATTTCTCACCTAAGTTCAAAATCCAATATCTAGTATTGTTTGGTGTTGTTTTTGTATTCTAATGAGGCCCAGATCTATAAATCATTAGCGTCTATAAGAAAAAAAGAAATTAAAAATAGAATAAAAAAAGAGAAACTAGTACTTATCATTAGACTAGTTTCAATTCCCACCCAAGTGCAAGCTTTAATATCTAATATTGTTTAACAAAACCAAATCTACAAAAGAAAAAAACTATTAATACCTGTTAAAAAAATATATTAAAAATAGAATAATAGTAAAAAAACTAGTACTTAAATTTATCATTTTACTAGTTCTCAATTCCCACTCTGTGTACAATTTAATCTTTAATATCTAGTCTAGTCTATGCACTAATTTCATGCTTCAAGTCTAGGCCTATAGAAAAAAAAAAGTATTAATAGAAAAAAAAATTGACATAAAATAACATAAAATAAATTAGAAAAGAGCAGTACTTGTCAATAAAACAGCTCTTAATTTGCGCCAAATACAATCTTTAATGCTGTAATACAGCAATATTAAAACCCAAAGTATCTCTTAAGTAGTGATTGTACTCGGTCAAAAAAATGTTACTCAGTTAACCGGCAAGTATACCCGCGGGTTATCTGAGTGATTGATGGGTATACTCGGGTATAATATTTTATCTGTATTACTCGATTAAGGCTATACATATTCTTCTAATTTAGTCCAACATTTTTAGTTAGCTTTTTATAAACTCTTTCGTGCCTGTGATTTCTTTGAGTTTGGAACAATAAGGATTAATTTCTATATAACTCATTTTATATTTTATATTCCAAAGAGATATATATTTTCACTTTAATGTTAATTTATAACTAGTGCGCTTGAAAATTTTATAATATTTGAACTATTCAATAA